ATCGAAAAGTCATAAATCTGCCTACTTCTGTTCATTTTCAAGCACTGCTAGTTGTTCAGCGTTGCGACGCCAGCAGCTGCAGTTGTAAGTTGTGCATCGTGCAAGTTGTACGGACCGGCCGGACTTTGGTTCGACAATCCTTATGACAATCCTCAGCGTCTTCGAGCTGACTGACCTCTTGGCTGCCTGCCACATATTTTGCTAGCCGAGTCTCCTCTGCGAGTCTACTTTTTGTCCTACTGACAATAAGTACAAGCCATCGGAGCTGCGACTGCTTCAAAGTCCTGAATTACCTTGTTTGAATCGTTCGAAGTCATCACTCATGTTGTTTGACTTAGGCATCGCTTTCTGACGACAACTCATTACAGTAGGCGAGCGTGAGTTACGTAATGGCGTAGACAGGTAGGCTTTTGGCAAAGAATGACTTAGAAGTGGAAGAACATGGACATGGAATTCCTGTGTTAATTTACGTTTACTTCGATCACGCTTATGAACTAGAATACAGCACGAATTTTCTGGTAATGGTTAGGAAGTTGTATCACTCTGCTTAAAACCCTGGTTGTTCCTAAGTTTCCTTCTGCAGTTCATCCGTCTTGGTCGTTTCACCTGTTTACTTGGCTAGGCGCTGATGTTTTTTTTAACGGCTTCCAGGGCACCGATCACCACAGAAATGACTTCCGCCTTCATTATCAAGGTCTTTATTATTTGCATCCTCAATTCCTGAGAGTTTAGCATATTTTGCTTTATCTGAACAACTCTTAACAACGCTACCGTCAGCAAGACATGCTATGTCAGTGATTTGTGTCAACGTGTTTATTTTGCCTCCCAACATGATCCGATCCGAACGATGAACCGATACTTCTTCCTTCCTCAGTTCGTATGGGGAGGTCTTAGGGTATTTTCACTTTCGCTGATATGCCCCCTTGCATTGCCACTTGTGGGCTTGCTTGTACAAATGCAAATTGACTATCCTTGCAACGTTGATGTCACTTTCCTTCCTTGGTGTCACTTCGCAGTCGCAAATTACATGGCTCACTGTCACTCATCACTCACTGGGCACGTTCTGCACTTTGCATCTGGCTGTGTGTATAAGATCTTCGATCGTACCGCTTCGAGTTCGGTGCTCGGACTAAGGTAGCTGTTTGGAGGTGTTTCTTTTCGTCACGAAGTCGACTCACAGAAAACTGGTTGAAAGCCTGGTGGACGTCTGTGTCGTGAAGATAATATTCATGCAGCTGTTTATTCGTTTAACTGTTGTACCGTCGACCCCTTCTGTACATTTTCCTGATGGTCTTGTGCATTTCCAGTTGTTTGCTGTTGCAGGTTGCACAGGCCACCAACCGTTAAAGCCATGCCGTTCATTACCATCGACAGATATTGTCTCAGAAGTGACGTCTTATAACACATAAGCCAAAACAATTGTTTTCTCTTCGCCCACGTACGCTTTTCATATCTCATCATGTGACGTAGATGACAGTTTCGTTCAGAGTTGTCATAACGTGTCAGTTTACAACAGAGTCGTCCTGAGGTCTGACGCCTTATTGTCGTGAAACTTCCAA